CACATATACACACCAGGAGGAAGATGACTAGAGAATTCCCTTTTCTCTACAAATGAGGTCCCTTTTAGACTTCCTCTTACATCTCACTGGCTAGAACTGGGTCAGAGGCCCAACCGGAGTGAATGGCTAAATGAATCATCATAGTCACCTTTAGGGGGCCAGATCTATGGTGATCACAAACATTTCTGTGGGTATGGCCACTGCTGCTCCAAACAGACTGCTGAAGAGCTGCCAGGAAAGGAAAGAGATTATGCATAGATGGAGTCTTCCTATGAGTAGGAGACAGGCAGGCAGCTGTGAGGAGGCTCTGCAGGGAGAGAGAGAGAGAGAGAGAGAGAGAGAGAGAGAGAGAGGATCCTCTGACCTGCATTGGCTGGCAATACCCCGGAGATGACCCACACAGTGACCATTATGCCAGTCTGAGGATGGCTCTGGTCTCTCTGGGATGCATGAACAGGAGAGGGAAGCTGAGGCAGGAGGCCGAACTCCACGAGGGGGAGTTGGATCCTCAGAAGGTCCTCTGCTCCCTTTGCTTTGTCGTGCAAACATGAGATGGTCTAGAAAGGACCAAGGCCAGGAGCCGTGTCCCACCAGGAAAAAGAAATATCCAATGACAGCGAAGGCAGATTAATGGACTCAGGAGTCCTGGCTGACGAGCCAGCTGGAGAGGAACTGCCATGGGTGTCCATGGCCTTGAGCAGCCGTGCAGACCCCTGCTGATAGCTACCTCACACCTCTAAGAATGTCAGAGGTAAACTCTTGGCATTCCTGGGTGGAGTAGGAGCCCTTCTTTGCTTGCAGCTGAGTTAGAGGTGGGAGACAGTGAAGAAAGGCTAGCCCATGGGAAGAAAACAGTGAGACAGAAGGGGGCCTCCGCACCCCACTCCTCCGACACCCTGAGCCCTTGCAAAGCCCCACACTGTCTCCAGCACCCCTACCTCCAGCCTGTACCCTCTTGCTTCCTCCCTCCTGCCTTGAGAGCCTGAGCCCTCTGGAACAGGAGGATGCTGGGTGAGAATGTGGAATCAGTCTTGGGACTTTCCCTTTAAGAGCTGTCAGAGTGAGCGGGGAGGCCGGCCAAGCTGGGCTGGAGGTGGGGACAGAGGGAAGAAAAAGAGAGAGGGAGAGAAGCAGGAAAAGTTTTTTTAGAGGAAAACGCAGGGCTAGTCTGTTGGCCTGACGTCAGATGCAGCTTTCATAACCCCCCCCCGGGAGGGGGGGCTGAGGAAGGCTCTCTGCCGCTCTGATGGGCCAGCCCAGTCCTGGCCCAGCTCCCCCGAGGCATCTGCCTTCTCTGGGCTGAAAGGTAGCTCCTGTGTCACTGACTTCCAGGCATGAGGTGGCTCCTGCCCTGGACGCTGGCAGCTGTGGCAGTCGTGGTGGCGGGCAACGTCCTGGCCACGGTGAGTCCCTCCTGGGGACCTGATCCCTTGCCGCCTGGTGCTGAGGCCAAGGGACTGGGGGTCAAGACAAGATGGGTTGGAATGGTGGGTAGAGAGGGGAGAGGGTTGCGGGGATGAAAAGAAGCTGGTGGAGTGGGGGGCAGGAGGAACAGCCCTCAAGACAGCCAGCCTGCTTTCCTCTGTTTCATACAGGGCATGGGGGATCAGCATCCCGGACTGGCTGTGTGATCTGGGGTGGATCACTCACCCATTCAGAGCAGCATTTGATAAGGGGGTTGTTGGGGACATCCAGAGCCTGTGAGTCTGAAAACACCGTGACTCTGGGCATCAGAACTCCCAAGAGGAGAGGTCCTGGGAAACCCCAGGAAAAGCCAGGAAGGGACATGCCCGCTTTCAGCAAATTCCCGCTGAGCAAGCAGCGTTGGGGTGTTTTGGAGCTGTACCGGTTGCCACCTCGAGGTCCTGTGGCCCCCTGTGGTTTGTCCAGTGAGAGTGTTCCTATCCTGCCATTCCCAAAAGACATCTGCAGGCTTCTCTCCCACCTGAGTCCAGAGGGAGGGACAGAGGTGTCTGCACCCTCAAGAACCAGGGGAAGGAGACACGTGGCAAAGTAGGGAAGCCTGCCGCAGCAGAGCAGGGGTGGCTGGGCAGGAGGAGAAGCTGCTAGGAGCAGTGAGCTGGGCGCCCTGGCAGAAGGGAGGCAGCCTGGGGCAGAGGGTGAGCCGCTGGGCAGCTTCAGAATCTGAGTCCCACATCAGGGCCAAGAACCCTGGGAGTTGCAAGGCTATTGTTATGGAAATACACCAAGGATTTCTTTGGGATGGGGGCTAACATGACTATTCACGGCCCAGCTACCTGCCTGTGAGTATTGCAGCTCAGAAATAGACCTGGCTGGGACTGGGTAATAGCACCTTGGGGTGTTGCTTCCAGAGAATGAACCTGTCCAGTTTGTACCCGAGTCCTCCAGTTCTTGCACGGTGCTTGTTGGTGCCAGCACCTAACCCTACCAAAATAATAATAATAATAATAATAATAATAATAATAATAATAATAATAATAATAATAATAATAATAATAATAATAATAATAATAATAATAATAATAATAATAATAATAATAATAATAATAATAATAATAATAATAATAATAATAATAATAATAATAATAATAATAATAATAAATAATAATGATAGTAATAATAATAATAATAATAATACCAGCTCTATTCCGAAAGGATAGCCAGAAAGAAACAGAGGTTTGGAGTGACTTGGGACTTGCCCAGGGTCAGGATGAGTAAGTGGCCAGGGTCACAGTCAGACCTTCGGTGGCACATCCTCACCAGTCAGTCCTCCTAGCATTTCCTATTCTGGAGCCTAGGAAGGAAGAAACT